CTTCACTAATGAGTGATTATTTTCGCTGGTTTATAATAACCAGTCATAACCAAATTCCAAATGTGCATACATTACCGAACCCACTAGCTTCGAAAACTGTAATGCACGTTTGCAAGGCTTCCAATGAAATATTGAAGAAGTACACACGAAACTCCGACCTACTCAGAACTGTCTGCGTTCCAGTTTAACCGCCGGAGCAACTAGATCGTCGCCGTGCGGAGGCGTATTTTCGACGGAAGAGGTGCGAGGCAGCGCCAGTATGCGGGGCGGCGTGGGCGGGAGGTAAACGCTCGGAGAGGGGGCGCAAGAGGAGGCGTGGGTGGTCTCTGTTTTCTGCTCAGGAACCTTGACACACTAACGACACAGCGCTGGTCCTACTTTCGTTTCCTCCCGGTGCCTCATTTGCCCCTCGTGAGAGACGTTCATACTAACATTTACTTTTTGATACTGTAGGGTCTCTATATTTGAGAAGAACGTTAGAACAACAGAAATGGGTGTATAAAAATGCGAGAGTTCTCATTGTGTGGGTTTCTCATTTATCATCCGAACTCGTGCGTAATTTACATTTTTGGTGAGAGAGGGTGTTTTAACAATAGTTAACCCGAAGGTTGTTAATTTGTATTACTATCTTATGTATTCGTTCTTTTAATAATTAGGTAAGATTAATAGAAGCTTTAGTGTCTTCGAGACATCGCATGTGATAAAGACTACTCCATTTCTATTCACTTGATTCCCAGTTTGAGGAAATATAGTTTAATGTTATTGATGATGAAATGGTCTTTGGCTCATTAATAAAAATTCTATATATTCTTTACAGTTACGTGAATGAAACCTGTAATTTAGGCACGGAAATTTAGTCATTGATGGAGGATTGTAATACCGCAATCTATTGCTCAGGACATATATACCTTTAATTTTCACATACAATTTTCAACTTTCCCAGTTTTCCTCTAATCCAAGTTTCTCATCAAATTTGTGAGTTTCATGTTGCAGCCATGACCTGTACGTGAATTTCTTCTATTTCTTAATCTTATTCTGCAATCTGACCTTGATGGATCGATGGTAATATTAGTTGATGAAATAGTCAGTGAAGAAACGTACCATCATCCTCGCGGAATTACTCAGGCGCTATCTCAAGTTTTCGGAAAGCAAATATTTGAGGTGAAGTGTTTTAAGAAGAAAGTTCTATTAAAGTGTTATTCAGATTGTGTAAAATGAAAAAGTGTAGGCCTACATTAAAGATGAAATATGGATGAGACATGTTTACACTCGCTTTAAAAATATGAGTTCCGTTGAAAAATAAAGTGACTTTTCTGATCTTTACTTGACATTAGACTATTACGTAACAAGGATTTCCTATGTTCTATCAGCTCATTGGTAAAAATTATGTACACATTCATTTGAAGCTCAAGTGAAATAGCAATTGTTTTCTTATTGAAAATAACATTCTCTGAAATAAAATTCCTGACACGCTGAAGTATTTAGAGATTACACAAAATAGAGCAAACATCGACAAAACGTGTTGGAGAATCATACTCCTGAAAATGTATATATGCAACCCGTCATACACACGTGTATGACAAAATGTCTCCAATTTATGAACCCAGAAGATATTCAAGACCCAATCATTGGCTTCATATTTTAACTCTCTCATGGGTAAAATTAATAATAGTCACTTTCACTTGGACATCTTTAAGCAACAAAAAATAAATATTATATATCAGTAACTAGTAAATTAAAATGAAAAATATGGAAAAGCAAGACACAGATAAAATAATTATAATGAATAAAATTGTGTTTGGGTGCACTGCACATATTTCAATGAATAATAGCATAATTTCAAACATAATAAACTTTTGAAAAACATCTTCATATTTTTCAGTATTGTAGACATAAATTGCATTTAGTTTCCATTTGAAGCTTAGCACTGACTTTGACCGTTGATCAGCCAGAAATATGAATTTCTTATTATTCTTACTTAGAAAAGTAATTATCTCTCTGAATTTCCAACAAGGACACAATCTACCTCCCCACACGAGCATCGTTCTAGTGCCAATGAAATTCCAGTTCCTTTCATTCTGTGAGTCAGTGAAGTACATGTTTTTTTTCCACTTTCGGTGTATTCTGAATAAGAAATATTAAATATGTCCCATTAAAATGTTGTTGTGAAGCACTAATTTTATTTTTTGCACTAATCTTACATTTTGTTGTGAAGCAATAATCTTATTCGAATATTGTTTACTGACAATATTAAAGTAAAATAGTTTCTGTTTTTTTACCATCGTTTCTCCATCGTTTTGGACTTTAAAACCACAAAATAAAAGTTCTACCCCTAGACATTCTCCACTTCATTAGTGGAATACAACTTCAATTGCTGATTCTTTTACCAAGGAAGAACATGTAAATAATCTCATTATTATCTCACCATTTTGTTTGAATCTTAAAACAACACATAATAAATCATTTACCTACGATTATTTTATATTACAACGAGATGGGGTGACACCGACTACTTGTACTACGTACATCATGTACACCAAAATAGGTAACACATATTTACAGTGAGATGGAGAAACCTTCAATATTCTTGCAATACTTTGTACACAAAACAAACTTTTAAACTTTCAAAAAGAAAGTCACACACATACTCCTCTTTCTTTCAGTACAGTCTCAGAGTTCTACCATTCCTCCACACTTCGCCTCCTTATTTCCCTTTCTCATTCTAATAGTGGATCCTGGGGACGGTTATTAAAGTCAGGGCGTTAAAAACCATGATCTTTTTTACCAAATTGATTATCAATAATGAACATACATTGATCGCGACATATTACATCACGTCCAAGATATATATCCATTACAAAATATAAGTCGTTTTCAAATTTCAAGCGCAGTCTTCAAAATTACATTTTTTAAATTATTTCAAAAATATTTACATAATTCGTATTTAAAATATTTATATAATTCTTAATTACAGTTTCAAACTGAAATTGCTCCCCTTAGAAAATATTTCTGGATCCACTTCTGTCCCTCCCTTCCCTTTTTGTTTCCTACTTTCTCTCTTTCATGTGATCATTTTACACTACATTAGAAGGAGGTGACATCCACCACTTAAACGCGGAGCACCTGCCCTTTCTCCGCCGGGAATGAATGGAATACAAACAAAAGGCCCTTTGACGAAGTGGTATCGGGCGGGCGGCCGCCTTCATTGTGGATGCGCAGCCACGTGGGGCCATATTAAAAATACCCGCCCGCCCGCCATCCACGGCACGCGCGGAACGCCCCTCAGCGTGGCGCGTATTAGGGCGGAGGGCGGCCGGGCCCCAAATGACGTGTGAACATCAACACAACGCACTCGGGGCCGCCCTCTATTCCTGGCGAGGGCCGCGCCGCGCCGCGACACGCCACTTGGCTTCCTACGCGCAGCTCACTTCCTCATGGGCGCGGGTGGAGGCGTACTACAAGCGCGAGAATGTAGCCGTTTCCTTACGAAGAAAATTACCTCTATTGAGAAATCATTTCTTCGATTGTGTGTTAAACAATTCACCTGCTGCAATGCGTTAAAATGATTCCTTTCATATTCTTTCATATTATCGACAAAAGTGGGTGATAGGTAAGCTGATAGTAAAGCGTCAGTATCACAATTCAATTCGCAACGAAAAGTTTGTAAACGGCATAATTTTTTATTTATTATAAATAGATTTATTTCATTAAATTATTTAGAGCATATAAATAAAAAAGAAAATAGTCCTTGTTAATGTATTAATATTATCCGAACACAATTTTTTGTATGGATATAGGTACTTGTGTTGATCAATGTGAAAAGGAAACTTGTTATTTTTGAATTAGGGATCATAGAAAAATAATAAAAGAAATTATCAAACTATGAAATGTAAATCCCGCTACACAAGTATTATTGCGGACCGTTAGATATTCACGTTTTGATAGTGAACTCGCTGTTTGCACTCGCCAGCCCCCGTTGAGTGCTAACGAATCGAGGTATTCGACCGGTCGCCAGAGTCACTTCCGCCTCGCCCATCGGACGCGGCGCGTTTGTTCCTAAGAAAAACCCTCGATTCCTCTCCACGGGTGAGTCACTGGACATGACCGGTGGCAAGGCGCGCGCGTTCATCGCACGTCTGCTCCTTATTTCAGTCGCCAGCGCAGAGGGCAGGACTCCCTGCCACGCCCGTCGGGAAGGACGCCCCGCCGCCGCCCCGCGCCACCGGGGTGACCAACATAGCGACGCGAAGAACTGGGCCGCCCGCGCCGGCCGCGCTTTCCTCAACCGTCCGCAGCGCGGTGCTGCCGTCACAAAATGGCGTCCACCCGGCGCCAGCCCAGCGCTGGGTCCTCCCGCGCCCACCGGCCAGCCACCCTTCGGCCGACGGCGCTCCCACCCGGAAGGGCCCGCGGACGCGGCCGAGACGCGCGCCGACCCTTCCGGTGCGCCGCCGAGCGGCGGGCGCGGCGCAGAGCCGGGAGGCGCGACGCCGATAACCGGCGCCGCACGCCCCCGCTGTATTAAAAATGATAACCGCCCCACCTCACGTCTCCCACCTGCGGCGGCGGGGCGGCGTGGTGCGTGCGGACGCCCGTCGCGGGCCGGCTCTGTCCGTAGCCCCCCGCCGCCTCCTCGGTCGCCCCTCGGTGTGTCTATAAAAGGACGGCCGACCAGGCCGCCCAACTGTACGCATAGAGTAATTTGAGATACACTACGGCACCGGCCTCTGCAGAGAATTCCTGGCATTACTCGTTTTGCCAAGAATAACCCAGTTACCGAAGGCTGGGCGGGCGGGTGGTGGCAGCGTCGGGGGAGGTAACGCCCGCGCTGAAAACATCGGCCCCCGTTGCGGAGAGGCGGATCTGAAGCGGGACGAGCGGGTTGGCGGGCGGACGTTTTCGGGACGGGCGCGGGGGCGGGGCCGGGCGCGCACGCGCACTGCCGCCGCCGCCGCCGCCGCCAGCGCCGCTTTTGTGTGGGCCGGAGGAGGGCGCGCGATCGCAGCTCCTCGTGGCGGCGACTCCACACGAACAACGACCGTGGTGAGGGCGCGCAGGCAGGCGACCGTTCGAGCCCAGCGGGACAGTCTGCGGCCTAGGCACCAGGAGCAACCAGGCGGCGGCGGAGCAGCAGAGCGGCAGGACAGCAGCGCAGCGGAGCACCGGCGATAGCGGGCGGGTTCTATCTACTTTCTTGCGTGCGGTCAAAGTAGAGAAGAGTCGACATGGCCTCTGCCTCCGTGTCCAAGACGACCAAGTCGTACACGTACCGCTCGACGGGCGGCGGGCCCGCGGAAGTCAGCATCGAGTACAGTGCGGACCTGAGCGCCCTCTCGCGCTTGGAGGTGAGCCGTCGGGGGGTGTTGTGAAATGTGCAACGTCCACCGCGAACGACCTTCCAGCGACCGCTCTACACTTCGCGATTCCGTTTTTCGAGCCGATTTGTGAGCGACGTCTTGTCTGTGGAGTTTGTCTGCGACGCTTATTGTTGCCGTTTCTGCTTATGTGTTGGTTGTCAGTTTGGTGATGCGTGCTTGTGGATTATGAAACCATTCGATGAACCTGTGATGGCGTGAGTGAGAAATCACACGCAGCACATTTCACTCCACTTACCTGAAAAATAATCTACGAGTGTTTTTTTTAGATTTTGGAATTTATTATTCAATGTTTTGTGGTGATTTTGTTTTTAGTAATTGAAAGAATGAAAAGTGCTTGTTGTGCTCACGGACTTAGGATTTTTAGTATTTTTTAAAGTGTATTATTCACATATTTCGGAATTTCAATTCATTAGGTTTTTTTGTTGTAGTACAAGTGAGTGACGCATAAACCTTTATTTTTATTTGAAAATAATTATGAATTTTTTCGATTTTTATTAAAGACCTTTTGGAATTAATTTATTGTCAGGTTAGTTGAGAACGTGCATTCACTATTTTTTATTATTTTATTTTTGAATAATATTAATTAAAAAAGAAACAATTTCATAGAAACATTATTTGTAAGTATCAGTTTTAGTTCAGGAAGGACTATTTAAAGGCAGCTTCAATAAGTAAATAAGCCGTCTTCAATTTAATACCAAGTTAAATTTATATTAATTTATATACGTGCTTTGCATAGTTAACATTTCATTTAAAATTTCGAATTTATTCCATTTTTAATTTATTTTCGATTTTCTCGAATGTTTCTTAACCTATTCGAGTCTCGAAAGTGCTTCCAATGACACGCTCTCTCTTTGCAGGACAAGATCCGGCTGCTGCAGGATGACTTGGAATCCGAGAGGGAGTTCCGTCAGCGGGTGAGTAATTCCCGGTCCTCTCCGTACCTCTTTCTCTCACTCAGACCCTTCTCACGCTCCCACCCTGCGCCCTCCATCTGACCCTCCCCCCTCCTTGCCGACCGCAGATCTCCCACCCCCACCCCACCAGCACCAGCTCCCACCTGGGCCTCCTAAATCTGAGAAGGCCCTCTCCCCATCCCCCACACACACCCTCGTTTCCTCCCCTCCTCTTGTTTTCTGGTCTGACGCCCCGGCATGGATGCAGCACCCGCAGAGGGAGGACTGACCCTCGGTAGCCCTTCCCCCACTGACCACGCATAACCTATGCGCTAATGTGGCCCTGTACTTGACATATGCAAAAACTTTCTTGCATGCTTCCGGCATGCAAACTGATGTGTTTCTTACGTGACAAATTTTTCCAAATCTCTAATGGGTTACATTAAATTTAGAATTAAATTAAATTTCATAAATTCTAAATAGCTTCATCTCCTCTTTTGAGGCTCAAGAGCCTTATCCTCATCATTGTGTGAAATCGAAGCCATCTGAAGACGCTTTCGTTTTGAAGACGTTCTCATCATAGACATAAAATCGGGCAAACACCCAAATCACTTATTACTTTTTGTATTATGGCGGAGAGATGGGTATTATATTTAGCGATATATCAATATCAAACGCGGAGCCGTTCTTGGAAGACCTCCAGATAGATTTCAACATTCTCAGAGCGGTCACCCGGGCCACCCGAAATAAGCGCGCTGTGGCTATCGAGATAAATTGGAGGCAGGCACCTGCTGGACAGGGTGGTCGCCGCGGAGAGACAGCCAGCGAGGCCTGTCAGTTTGCACCGAGTAGAAGCTTTGGATGACGTTGGAGAAACTAATTTGATAACTCTTCTCTTTTATCAAACATGATCTTACTGACATGAACACTGAAATATTCAAATTAGCTTTGACAGAATAATAAGCACACCAAATATAAAAATTAATGAATATGAACATCAAGAACAATTTTTTATGTACTGACGTAAAAGAATATAGTATATCGTTTCAGAGACGAAAGCAATCAACAATCAATTCGAATATAGACAAAAATAAAACCTTCCAAATTTTAAATTGCAAGATAATGAAAAATTGTTATGAATTCATCAATAAGATTACCTGTTTTCATTTTGAATTATGAAATAATTTCTTCTGAAGAGATGCACGTTATATTTTTGTCACGTTTGCCATCGCACCAGTTAGAATTAGATAAACAGGGATTAATTATAGTAAAATTGTATGACTTTTTTTCTTAATGAGAATCAAATGCAATTTTCTAAGAAAAAATGTTAACAGTAAAAATTATAAAATAACTAGATCCCTTTAAACTGACTATAAAATTGCTGGCCAAATAATCTTCTTAAGTCTAAGACAACCATCATATGTGATATAATTAATAAACTGAAATAACTGCTACCCGAGTTCTAAAGTACATTAATCAATTCAGTGATTTAATTGACATTATATAAAACAATAAGGGGGTGAAATGCGTTAAGTTTTTAGTCCAGCGTTTAGCTCTCTTGTTCTGTAGATTATTTATTTAGTTATTTCTAATTGAAATATCTATGTTAATCACAATCGTACATTCAATAAAGAGAAGTTAATTTTATACAAATGCAACTGAATCTAATTTCGAGATCAAAAACTTGTTTTTTTATTTGGTGTAATTGTAAGTTGATGAGGACGTATTTCAGTTTCACTATATACCATTTCAATAAAACGTGTATGACATTTACACCGCAAACATCCCTTAAAATTGAGTGCTGATTAAGATATCTTTTCAAAGGTTAGTTCGACGCGAAGTGTCAATATTGGCTAAACTAAAATAATCAACAGTATAATTTTTGTATCAAGTGCTTAATCAAATAGAGGTGTTGAATTAAGTATTTGTGATAAAATGTAAATATGAAGGGTTATCATTTTCAATTTTTTTCTACTAAGTGGATGTTATATGATTATCTAAGCTGATAAGACAATTTTAATGTTTATACATATCAGGATTGAATTTAGTATAAAGTACTTCATCTCTGAGAACTTAATGTTTAGAAATTGCTAAAAATAATTCCCTAAGACCTTGTTTACTGTATATTTCGAATTATTTCGAATTTTTCGCGTTTTTTTTTTCAAAGACACGTTCAAATATATATTTTTAGTAGTTAATAGCACAAAGATTTCAGTTTATTATATTAACATGTTTTGCCTAAGACACTAGTAAGTATTAAAGTTGCAAGCAAGAAATTCATTATTTTTGTAAAAATTGTAAATTAAACCGATCACACACACACACACACACACACACATATATATATGGTTTAATTTAATTTATGATCTGAAAGATTGCCTTCCTTAGCGCCACAAAAACTATAAACTGCCGGAATTTCGAGTTAACATTTTATTGCGTTAACTGTAAATGAGGCATTTAAATGTAAATGAAAAAAGTAATATCGTCTTTTGATCTGGTCTCTTCAAATTATATTCATCCAAATTAAGGGATTGATTAATTGTGGATAAAGAAATACCATTAATTAGTGGAACAAGCAAATGCTACAAAACGTTCCGCTTAAATAATGTAGGGGATGCAAAATGTTTTATTAAATAATATAGTAAGGACCAAAAGTGTAATTAAAAAACTTAACCCTTTCGGAATTATTTTGTGAATGCGATGCAATATTATTTCTTATCTCGTTTTGAAAATATATTTATAGCATTAATTTCAAAATGATAAATTATGAAAAATAATTAAAGAATATATGACTTAATATATAATATTTATCGCGAACATAATATGTTCGGTAAATATTCAAAAAAATACCACAAATTACCCCAAAATATTCTCCCTCATATCAATCAATATGCGATGTAATGAAGCCTGACATTCATGTCATTAAGCCAAACGAAAATATAATATGTTCCTAGACCACACACCTTTATCTTCATGTGCAATTTGCAACCCGAGATCAGCAACGTATTCCAAACATGATGCGCGCACCGGCGGGGGGGGGCACATGCATTCCCTAAATCCGCCGCATCTGCAATTAGCAACCAGGTGGAACGCCTGTGACGGTGGTCTCGAGACCGCCCAACCCGCCCAACCCACCTGCCCCAAACAGCCTCGCCTCAGTTCTCACTGCTCTCCACTGTTCCGCCCTCTCCATTCCACGCTCTCTTTGCTGTACACCATCCCGCGCTCCCTTCCCCCTTCGCTCAACACCCTCACCCTCCATATCTCCCCCTCCAAACCCTCCACGCTCCACACCATACCCCGTTCCACACCATCCCCGCTTACTCTGTTGTACACCCTTCTCTCCACTGCACCGCACTCGGCGCCCGCCCCGTCCGCGCCGCCTTGGCACCGCAACGCGGGCCGTCTCCGCTCTGCCAACGCGGGGGCGTGGCGGCGGCGTCCACCTGCGCCGCCGACACCGTTATTAATGAGGTCTCACCTCACTCTGGCAAATGCCCGCCGCTTCCTGCACCGCGCCTGCGGACACGAGTTTAAATCTTTAAGAACCATGTCGGCCTAATCCGAGGTATATTTAGAGATCGAAGGTATTTCCGGGGTGGACTAGAAGCGGCCGTGACTCACCGTGTTAGCACGTCAACGACTTCGTTAAAGATTTTAGTCGTTACTGTCTCTCGACACCGTTTTTCAAATTTCTATGACAACGTTATTTTTGCGTTACACACACTCTCTCTCTCCCTCCCTCTCCTTCTCTTTCAACCTACTCCGCGCAGTGTGCAACAGTTATTTGCCTTCTTTTCGTTGCTGTGAGGTCTAGGAAAAATTTACTCCCCACAAAAAATATGGATTTTGTTGACGCCAAATATCAGGAGCATAATACGGAATTTTCGAAAATAAATAGTCGATTGACAACTAATTTCACCAGTCTCAGTGTTGGGCAAAATATGGACCTCACTTGTACAGATGTTTTCGCTGCGATTCACAAATAATATGTTCGTAGAACCGTGAAGAACCCGCGAAATACTCGTATTTTGAAAGAAATTTCTTGCGACAAAAAATTAGACAAATTTTGCCGGTAAATATCGTGCCACATGATACGTTTATTGTTCAATTTTTTTTTTAAGTTCGTTGTCACCAGTTTTATTCCGTTTCGGCCAGCTAAGAAACAGAATTTCAAAGATTATTGATACATAATACTACGACGAAACCCTCCCCACCAACGAAGTGCTACGTGCTTTTCAACTGTGTCCTAAGGTCTGAGATTTTGAAAGTTTCATTTTTTCTTGTACTAGCCGGAAATCTAACCTGAGAGCATGGAATTAACCTGAGAAAAAATATTTGTACGGTTGTGCGCTAGACGCGAGTCAGCAAGTTCGCTTTATAGATAAATTAAGCGTCTGATTACTAAAGATTATACTTTCATTTTTAAGAAGTCAGTATTGGTCTCGCTTTACAGTCTAATAATATCCATACAGCTGGGACTCATTTGCGAAAGATAATGAACAACCCACACACGCCATAGCTGGAACCGATACTTAAAAATTCCACGCTACGTGACACTCAGGTGGTGTCAATCTGTCACGACCATCGTTAGTTACTCTATCCGCCAACCACACGAGCCACGACTCGGTTGTCGTCGGCCGGATCGACCTCGCGATAATGGATGGGCACAGGGACGCGGTCGGCCGTCATTAGCGGCAGCGGGGGCGGGGCGGAGTGCAGGAAGGCGAGCCGGGCCACCGTCCAAAGCCGCTCGCCGCCCCCGGCCGGTCGCAGGCGACCGCCGCACCGCGCGCCGCGGCCTTCGAAGCGAAGAGCGCTCGACTGGGCCGCCGGCGGCGGTGGCGCCCTCGGTGCTCGGAGGCGGCGGCGGCGGCAGGTAATTTGGGCGCGGTATTCTGGCCCGACAGCCGCCGGCTATTCCCAGGAGCGCGCGCGCTCGCCGCCTCCCCGCCCACGCCCGCCAGCGCCGCCTGCCGCCGCGGCCGCCCCCGGAACTGCAGGGGGGTCTCAGCACCTGC